CGGGTGCGCCCCGACGACGTGCACCTGCCGCCGCTGCCCGGCGTCCCCGGGCCCCGAAGGCGGCGGCGCCCCCGTGCGCCCCCCACCACCCCGCGCTCCCGGCCCGGCGAGCGCGCTCTGCTGCTGCACCTGCCGGCCTTCGGGCGCGACCTCTACCTGCAGCTGCGCCGCGACCTGCGCTTCCTATCCCGCGGCTTCGAGGTGGAGGAGGCGGGCGCGACCGGGCGCCGCGGACGCCCCGCTGAGCTGTGCTTCTACTCGGGCCATGTGCTAGGCCACCCCGGCTCCCTGGTCTCCATCAGCGCCTGCGGCGCCGCCGGCGGCCTGGTACTGCCTGCGTCCTCTCCGGGTCTGCCTGTCGGTCTGTCGCGGCGCAGGGGGTGGTCCCCGGGAAGGACTGGGATGGAGGTGGGGGAGCCTCAGCGGGAACCTTAGCCTCCAGGGGTGCTCTACCGCCGACTGGAGGGGGAATATGCCGCAGCCCGCCCAGTGGAGCAGGTCTAGCGGTGATTAAACCTGTCAGGCCCCTAGACTGAGAGGCGCACTTCCCCAGGTGAAGAGTACATATTTGCATATGCACAGGTGTGTGTGAGTGGCATGGGGAACACCTGTGTGTGTACATCTTCTCTCTTCTTGGGTGTGGGGATGAGGTGGTGGGCATGTACCTCCCTCCGTCCTTTTGAGTCTTTCTATGCCTGGAAAGGAAGTTTGGAGGGGTCCCCCCTCAGGCCACTAACTTACTCTAATTAGCTGAAACCTGAGACCCAGGAGGGGGAGGGTATTCCTATCCTGGTTTCCTTACACCACAAGCAGGCATTGTCTGGCACCCACTCTGGGCCAGGCCTCGGGGGTAACTTACCTTGGTGCTAAGACTCTTCCTGTCTCCAGAAGCTCCCTTGCTGTGACAGTAGCTCTTCCCCTGCCCTGCTGCATTGGAGGCACCTGTGGCAGGTGCTCTGAGGGGCAGGGGAAGTCCCTGGTGCACTCTTGCCCTGCCTGTGCTCATAGCCATTACTGGGCTGCACTGGTGCCGGACCAAATGCTTCTCGGCTTCTCCATGGTGCCCCGAGGAGCGCACATGGCTGGCAGATGGGCTGCCCCCAGCAAAGCCTGGTTGTGGGCTCTGAGCAGGAAGCACACAGTTGTTTTTCTGTCTTTTGCCATGACCGGCTGCTGGGGAAGCAGTTTCTGATATTCTTTTGTGTCTGCACACACAAAAAAACTGCTTTCCCCACCTCCACTTTAGCAGGCGCCACCATCTAGAATTCCCTAGCCCTTACCCAGGTAGTCTGCAACAAGTTGCCTAGAAAGCCTGGGGGTCCTGATTTTTAGGGGAGACTTCTGCTTTGTAGGGGACCTGTGGGGGTCATGCCCTGGGATTGACCTTCACCATTTGTCCCCTTCAGGACTCTTTTGAGTCTTGGTCAGAATGTGATCTACTTTTGCTCAGCTGGGAGACATTGGCTTCTCTGGTTAAACAAGGGTAATGGACCGGGGAGGGGGCCTGGTAGGAGCGGATGAGGAACGGAGCAGAGAATGTGGGCTGTGGGCGAGGAGGCTTAAGGTGGAGCGAGAGAGGCTCAGATCACGGCAGGACTCGGGTCAAGGCTGTATCATGTTCTGGGAGGGACTGGAAGGCCCACATCATTTTTGCTGTTTTTGCCAAACTGTTTAAAGTCTAGGTCACATCACTGTACTATACATGGAAACATCTGAATCCCATTTGCTGCGGTTTAGTGAGTTTCTGTAGAGGTCAGAGTTTATACTTCTTGGTGTAAAGTTTCCAGCGAGCAGCACTCTGCGAGGGAGCCGAGGGTGGAAATCTGGATAACATTGAGTGCTGGGCCCTCTCACAGATGGCATCTGAGCAGCGAGGGTTCACTTCAGTCCTCCGGGCTTTCAGGGCTGTCCTTCCCTCCTGCGCCATGTGAGGGCGCTGTGCTTTAGATAAAGGAACCTGGCCAAGAGGCCGAGTTCAGCGTGTGCCAGCTGCGGGTGGACCTCTAAGGCTACAGATTCTAAATTCCTGCTTAAGCAGACACTTCTGTTATTTAGTCTGCCTTGTTCATCCCTTTCGTGTGAGCTGGACATTGGACCCTTCTTCTTAGGTACACTCTGTGGAAGAAGGACTGAAGACAGGGGGAAAGAGAGAGCATGGTGGCTTGAGGTGGACCTCTTGTTTGCAAGGTGGTCCCAAAATGCACAAAGAAAACAGGTGCTTAGGCTAACCAAGTTTGCACTGCACCCCAGCTTGCTTTGGCGTTGGTTCTCAAATGTGCTTCAGGCAATTCAGGTGGGTGGTAACGTGTCAGTCTCTGTTGACTGTGGTGGAAGCACTGTGAGATGGAGATGTGGGGGGTATGTGTGTGTGTGGCAGTGTGTGTCTGTCAGGACAAGCCTGGCTACAAGGCGTGGGAGGGAAGAAACATTAAGCAGACCATTTTTGGTGGCCACACGTGGCGACATGTACAGTCATGCAGAGCAGGGGTGGGCAACTCTGTATAGGGCCAAATAGCCAGTATTTTAGGCTTTGCAGGCCGTATGGTCTCTGTCACAGCTACTCAGCACTGCCCTTTGAATGAGAAAGCAGGCATGGATGGTCAGTAAACACATGGACATGGCTGTGTTCAATAAAACTTTATTCCGATGTCGAGCTCAGTTCAATCCGGCCACATCTACAATAGCATCCTCACGGCAGTTTAGTGGAGAGGGTGGAACGCAGGGGCACACAGCCTCTGTTCCCTGACGCACGGGCTCCATGCTGTCTCCAGGGATGTTTCGTATCTATTTGAAAGGGGTGCGTGATTAGACTAGATCATTGCTGAATTGTTTAGGGGCATGAAGAGTAAATCTCGGGTTCCATCTTCCCCCTCCCCCCCAAAGCCTTGTTGGCCCGTGGGCCAAGGCATGGATGGGCTGGTGGCGCTTCCCCGCTCCATGTCTTATTTTGGAAAGCTGGGCAGGCTGGACTTTTTGCATCTACAAAGACCACAGGCTCAAGTAGTCACTGTTTTCTGTTCATGCTTCTTCATTTCATTTATGTTTCAGAGAATCCTTAGACTTAACATAGGATTTTGGAAGAGTGTCTGTAACCACATAATTTCAAAGCAGAGACGTTTGGGCACGTGAGGAAGGTATTCCCAGCCCCAAAGACTTTGCCAGTTTGGAGCAGCCGCGTCCTGTCACTAGGACCAGATCACAGAAGGCCGGCAGAATTGGAATCAGGTTAAACTGCACCAGAGGGGACACGGGAGGTGGACCTTCAAGGGATAGAGTGAATGTCGGCTTCTAAAAAGACTCTCTGTGCTGCTTGTGTGATGTGAGTGGATGAAGGGGCTGTTTTCCATCCCTGCCCACGAGGAGACGTGGACAGAGAGGAGGGGAGCAGTGGCCATTTTTCCTTAGATGAATACTAACAAGCTCTGGGTATTCTGCCTGCCAAGCCCCTTCTTGGCCGAAGCTGTGGCCTGTCAGGCGTGCGCTGTACGTGAGATGTTGGGACCAGATAGGACATCAGCAGCTCTGGGCTGCGGAAGGTTAAGTAGCCATGCGTATTTTCCAGGCCACCCCAGATGGACAGAAGGTCAGGGATGCTCCTAGCATGCCTTCTTGGGAGTCACAGCCCGTGGGCCCCTTGCTTGGCATATCGCTCATCCAGGTTGGTCACTGGGGTTGACCTGATGTCCCAGCCCACCCCGACTCTGGCTGCTCAGCCCGCTGCAGTGCCAGCAGCCATTTTGGCAGGACAGCATTGGTGGTGCTTCTTACATTCGTAGTTGGATAGTTCTTCCTCCCTACCCGCTTGGGAGCTTTTGTGGGAATGCTCACCTCTGGTCCATGCGGGAAGAAGTATAGTCCAGATAGGAATGGCGGGGGCTGAGGTCAGCTGGTCCGTGAGCGGGTGGCTTAGATTAGAAGAGTTGGGGACACCATTCTTAAGAGAGCAGCTTGCGTTTCTACAACTCCCGGGATGAAGGGAGGTCTGGGATTCTGTTGCCTCTCCCTTTAGAAGAGATATCAGACTCTCTGTTTATTGGTTGTAAAAGCACCCAGCTTTTTCATGCAGCATTCCTTGATTACATATAGAAGAGCAGGAATTACTTTCGGCAAAAAATTATATGGTATGGAGAGCATTCGGAAGGGAGCAAATAGACCAAGTGACGTTACCATACATCTGTATATTGATACAGGTGTGGGGAAGGTGCATGGTCCTCAGTGACTCATCAATTAATATTACTGAAGAACTGATCATGCGCAGCATAAATATACAGTAATACTTTGGTTTGCGAGCATAATTCGTTCTGGAAACAAACTACTCATATTGCAAGACATCGTTCATTTACCACGTTAAAGTGTATTAGAAATGTTTGCTTGTCTTGCGGAAAACTCGCAAACCACGTTACTCGCAATCCAAGGTTTTACTGTATTTGGAAAATGCAAGGCACATTTTTAAAGCTTTGCAAAAAGAAACAGTTGAGTGGAGGCTAAGGAAAGTCAGAAGGAGGGAAAGAACGGTCGTGAGGTTTGGAAGCATGGGGGAACTAAAGAGGAGAATTTGGATCAGAGATTTCTAAGGCCTCTAGCTTCCCCGCCGGAAGGGCGTTCACACGGCCTCACGGAGACTCTACACCCACCACCGCTCATGGGCGCCTGGCTGCCCGTGACCATCACCGAATGCACGTAACTAGATATCCCCATTTGAACTTTTGTTTAGTTGGCAACATTTAAAAAAAAAAAAAAAAGGAAGTATGAGATGGGATGATGAACTGAAGACATCGTAGACAGATTGCATTCTTGGAGCTTATTTCCTGAACTATGAAATGCTGCAGCTGCCTGACCTCGGCTGTGTCCAACAGGAGCCGTTTTTGCAGCCAGTACATTGGAGGGAACCAGAGGCCCCCAGTTAACCTTTCGGTGTGCGAGCTTCTGCACATGCGCATGCAGAGGCACGGTCGGTCACGCTCACGTTCTTTAGGAAATGAGACGGCTCGGCCGTCTGGGGCTGTGATCTTGGAGTGTGTCACTCACCTCCTTGAAACCTCCCTGGGTGCAGCCCTACAAGGGGTAAATAACATTGGCTGTGCATGACTGTTGATAGAATGAAATAGATAAAGTCTGTGAGATTGTTCAGTGAGAGCCTGGCACGTTAAGGCAGTGAAAACACGTCCCCTCTCTTGCCCCACAGGTTGTTTCCAGGCTTTTCCAGTTATACACCAACCGATCCATCAACACTGTTGACAAAATGATCAGATCGTTATCTCACACCTGCCGTAGGTAGGCCACTCCGGTTGGCTCCCAATAAGACTCAGAGAAATACTGTGCGGGCTCTGCCCCGGAGCGCATACAGGTCTGCACAGGAAGGAAGTGCCCGGGAGCCTGTAGGGTGGCTGAAGGGTGGGAGCAGGATTAGCCTCAGGTTCTAAGACTGAGGGGGGATGGCAAAGCCGCCAGGGCCAGGGCCTTCCCAAGATATGGGGCCCATGAGTTGACTGTGGGATGGGAGGTGATTATTTTAGGAGATGGTGGGAAGTACCCTGAGTGGACAGGTGTATGGATTAGGTAAGGCGGGGATGTGGATGCCAACCTAAGGCATTTAGAATTTACCCAAGAGCAGTGGTTCACAACCTGGAGCTGGCATCAGAGATCCCCTAAAAATTTGTCACCCTGATTGCTAGGCCCTAGTGTGGCCTGAGAGCTGGAATTTCTGGCCAACTCCCAGGTGCTGCTGCTGGTCTGAGACCACATTTTGAGGATCACTGGCCTAGAGACCATGGGGAGCTTTCCTGGCTGTTGAACAGGAGTCCCCGGGGATAGCAGTGGTGGGGGGTGGGGGTGGCAGAGGAGGAGAGGATTTGAAGGCACAAGGTGACGAGCTAGCATGTGGGTCCCTCCAAACAAGACCTTCTAAAGCAAAAACTTGCCCCAGGAGCCTGTGTATGTGTGTGTACCTATAGGATTTCTCACCAAGGTGAGAGGCTCCCTATATTGTGTCACATTAGAACTACCTGCTCACTGACCTTTTATGCCTCAACTTGTGAAGCCAACAGTAGACTGAACAAATGATACCTGGCTTTGAACATGCCAGACCCAAGGGGGGGCCTTTGACCTCCTGTAGCCCCAGCATTTCAGGAAGAGTCAGGCCCCTCCTTAGATCCAGGTGCCCCCTCCAGGCACACAGGTCTCCTGGTGTGGGCTCATCCAGGCACTGTGCCATACCTGCCACCTCTGTCTCCCCGTGGGCGTCTTCATCCACAGTCACTGAGGTGTTCCGCCCTGACGCTTTCTTTACACCCAGTGGTAGTGGGGCTCTGTATACCCTGACAGCCGCCCCACCCCCACCCCGCCTCCACTTCTTCCGTCTCCCCAAAGTATTGTAGTGAGCAAACTCGGGTTTTTAACTTCAAAGGGAGGGAAGAAAGCCATGCGTTCCCGCAGGCCGCGCATTGCCACTTTCAGACAGGTTTATTTGGGCAGTAAAACCTCTGAGTTGTTCTTGGCAGAGTTCTAATGAACTGCAAACCTTGAAATCTGCTTAGAGCAGTAAGTCCAGTCGCACCCTGTGTTCTGGGTACTAAAGTTCGTAGGCGGTCTTATTCGTTGATCTGATTTACTTTCAAAGAGGCTTGTTATCCAGGCCGCCTTTCGGGAGACAGACGGCCTGTGTCATTCGGCTTGAGTGAGGATGGAGGAACTGCTGGGCTGTGGAGAGCAGTGCTTTTCAGAGTGTGGTACCCAACCCTCAGCGTCAGTATCACGTGGGAACCTGTGAGAAGGGTGCATCCTGGGTCCCACCCAAGAGCACCACGTGATTTTGATTGGCACAGGAGTTTGAGAAGTGCGTGTTTAGTATGTCATGGCTTTTAGAAAACAGTGGTGAGAGAGAAGAAAGGATGTTTGTGGCACTGAACCTGTGCTAGCCAAAGCAGCCTGACCATCGCCCTGGGGGAGGGGCCATGGATGGTGCAGCCTGGTGCACAAACAGGGGTCTTTCCCCAGCCCTGGCCCAGTGGGGTTCCTTGTGGGAGGTCTGTCTTGTTGACATCTCATCAGGAGGAACACGAGCAGCAGGGCAAGGGGAAGGAGGGGAAGTTGTTTTAATACTGTCAGCTTTGGTTCCACGTGAGGGGTGTAGTTCTCTGCATCATATATATGTCTGTATTTTTAGGCTTAATAGTCACTCTCTGCAAGTGACAAATTGAAATCCTAGTTCTTAAATTTTTCACTCAGTTTGCAAATCATGGTCTGTGGATCATCTAGCACGTTTTTGCAATCTCTTTTCAGGAGGTGTTGGATAATATTTTGGCTCCATTTACAACTTTGGTGATTAACAAACTTTGAAACCCTTCAAAATGCGTTTAGAAATTTAACATGCTGTTTGATTTTCAGGTTCTTTAGTGGTCTGATTAAAATAACAAACTCTTTGCAAGCACTTAAGTGATTCTTATAAACCTAATAAGTTAGGCTTATAAACATGGAAAGTCTGAAGTTCTCTTATACGTTCTAAGGCTGCTTGTAAACTTAAGAAGATTTAAAAATCACAAGTCTAAATTAACGATGCACTTTAAATTAGAATTACAAATCTAATCCATCGGATACTTTGCCACCATGCTCTCTTAAACGCTGCAAGCTTTGAAAAAAAGGACAACTCCCCTATCATCAAACTAGTGATAGTATAGGTCTGACTGACTCCATCTGTGTTTAATTCTAAATATCACCTGAGAGAGATACCTTTTCCCGTAAGGATATAATTGTCATTTGTTCCCAACACATTTGGGGTAACCTCCTCAGGTGGACTTTTGGAGGGCTGATTTTAAAAATCAAGTTTGTTTTTATGAATAATAAAGTCATACATCTTCTTTGGAAGCAAAGCTGGAAAATGAATGCTGTTGCCTATATTGTTGTACTCCAATCCCCCACCACCACACACACATACACCTGGTGTCTCTTTCCCCAACACAGCTGCTGGTGGGATGTTTCCGGTCACACAGAAGCTCATTCTTGGGCTCCGTGCATCGGGGCGCCCTGTGAAGAGAAAGCCCGGATGTGGGAAGCAGGCGGCCTTGCTGCCCCTTGGGCTGTTGGGGTTGCGGGCGCGTGTGAATGAGGGTGACCGACGGTGGTCGCTTTTCCTTTTTCTGGGCAGGTCGGCCTCATCCAGCTTGGGCAGCAGCAGGTGTTGATCCAGCCTCTCAACAGCTCGCAGGGCTCGCTCAGCGGACAAGAACACCTGATCAGGCGCAGATGGTCCTTGACACCCAGCCCCTCCACGGAGGCCCCGGTCCCTGGGCCGCTCTGCCAGGTGCTCACAGGTGAGTCTGGGGAACAGCACAACCGATGCACAGCACACGCCCATCTGGCGCCGCTGCACCCCCCAGAACCGCACCCCCTTCCCCCCTCCAATGCTCTAACGTCCTGTGAGCAAGTTCCTGAGGCTCCCTGTATTTTTGAAAGCTTTTTTTAAAATTGCAATTAAGGCCCCTTCCGTTTCCTTTCTATGTGGATTAGTATCAGCATTTCACATGGAGCAGCGCTTTGAAAAAGGCGTCTCCAGAAGGAACCTGTCATTAGGGCAGCGTCTCCGTGTTAGAGACCAGGAGCAAGTTGAGGCCTGAGCAACCTCGATGGCTTATTGTTACCAAGCCCCAGGCTCGTGGCAGAGCTCGGATGAGGACCTGTTTCCCTCTGCACCTGAGCCAGAGCTCGCCTTTCTAAGACAGTGGTCCTGAGTCCTGGCTGCACTAATTAGAGTTGCCTGGAGGCGGGGACCTACAAAGCTGTGGTTCTCAAAGTGTGGCCCCTGGGCCGGCAGCAGCAACGTCGTGCTGTGTCACTAGCGGCCTGCCTGCGCGTGTCCCCTGTGAAGACAGGTGGCCTGCTGCCCTCCAGTGGCATTTCCTTCCCTGGGGAGTACATGGGACCCTGTGGCTGACCTTTGGGAGTTGTTGAAAGACTGTGTAAAAATACACTGTATCTTGGTTGGTATGCCAGTGACCTTGGAAATAAGTCAATTGTATGACTCTCATTTAGAACAACTTTGTTATTTAGAAATGAGCCTTGCAGCCTGGCTCAGCTATTTCTTGCAGTCCTGATTGGGACAGGCGGTTCCCCTCCTCCTCCCCTCACCCCCCTCACTAGTCTGAGGGAGGCATGCGGGGTGATTTTGCTGGATCAAGGCCACCTCTGCAAACCCAGGAGAGCTCCGAGTGGTATATGGAGAGAGCATGCCACCTTGCTTTGGGGTTTTGCTCTGTTTCTTCCTGCACCCTTACAAAATCAGGGAAGACAGACCTTGGTATAAAAAGACTAGTAACTAAAAAAACACCCGTTCGTAGGAAGCAGGGGTTTCAGTGAGCATCCCAGTTGGGTGTGTGTGCGGGCTTGTGGTTGGTGTGTTATTTTAGATGCTGGCCGTCTGACCGTGTCTAGGTCAGTCTTGGTGGATCCTTTGTTCTTTATCTGCTTTCAACGTAAATGACTGTTGGTCATTCTAAATCTTTGGGCATGTTCCGTAGCTGCTCCAAACATATGGTCACTCTACGCCAGTGGTTCTCAGTGCAGGCTGTCCATGGGTGTCCCCTGGGGAGCCTAACAACTACTCCCGCCTGGGTCCCACCCCCAGAGAGCTGCTCTAGTTGGTCTTGGGGGCAGTCTGGGCATCTGGTGACTTTAAACCTCGCCACATGGTTCTAAACTTCAGCTGGAGCCGAGAGCCACTTGGCTAAGGAGTCTAAAACCTGTGGGCCACTGGAAGTGGCTTTCTCAGGTGAGAACCACCAAGCAGGTCCCAACTGTGAAATCCAAGGGCAAGTATATTTTAGTTTCAAACCAGCGCTCATCAGCTGCTCATCAGCCACCAGAAACCCAGGGTGCTTGTGGACAGGGTCATGGAATGTCTCATTACCAGCTGCCCTCCTTTCCAGGGCTGTGATACCATGGGCTGCTGACAGAATGATAAACTGTGCTGGTGTTTGCATTTTTGTCTCGGAGGCTGGTGTCAAGGCACCCTTTCGATAGACTGTTTAGCCTATGAGGAAGGAAATGAAACTATAACAAAGCCAGGGTGGGGAGGATTTGATGGAAACTCAGTTTACACAAGCGCAGCCATGCAAGGGTGCAGAGAAATTTCTGAATTTGCTTAAGAAATGATCTCCCCTTCCTTGCCCCCAAAAGCTCACATCAACATGCTTCTCGGTGTGTGAAGGTGGTGCCAATTCCCACTGTGTCCTGGGTATGAGCACAGACACTGGAGAAAGGTCCATCTCGTGTCCAGTCCTTCTTGCTCTGCATGAAGTCCCCATGACCTTGGTGGCTGTGTTGAGAAAGACAATGAACCTCTTCGTAGGCTCAGCTAATGAGCCGTCGATGAGGTGCTATCTAGTGTGGATTAACTTGCAAACACTGGGAGCTTAGAAATTGGGAACATTAATTTACTGGGACCCCAGCAAAATACATGGTTGAAGTTTCCTGGAAAGATTAAACAGATGAATCAAAGATTTCCCATGGGAGCTGCTTCTTTATGGCTGAACAGGTGGCCGTAGGTGTCCCTGTGCATGCCTTGTCCTTAAGTTTGTGTTACCCTGACCTTGGACATGGCCTGGGAGTAGCCGGCTGGCTCAGGCAGGGTGGGAAGAATCTGTGACTCCTCCTCCTCCCTGAAGCATGCAGTTTACCTGAACGTTGGGCGAGGTAAGCCACCTCCTCCAGGGCAGACCACCGAGAAGGAACTGCTGCCTTCTCTTGGGGCCTCCTGAGCTTGAATTTCCAGCAGTTCTTGGGGCCCCCAGAGAGGGGACAGGCTGATCCTATTTCCTTTATAGCTCCTTATTTTTAGGACCTTATAAACTGATTCATAAAATATCACTCCAGTTTGGAAGGTTAAAACTTGGCATGAAAATATGGAGTCTGTGAGCGTTCCCTGTTTTTTTTTTTTGGGGGGGGTAAAAGCATGAGTTTTTAAAGGTTTTTTGGGATACTCTCAAATAAAAGGGTACTTTGTGTATTTTGAAGTGTTTTTCAATTTTTAAGTGGTTATTTTTACTTCAAAACGTTTTGTCTGTCTTCGATGCTTCTTTTAATCTCAGATTCAGTTTAGAATCATCTCACTAGCATTTTCATGGTCTCTGCTAACAATTTGAATCTCTCTGTCTTGTCCTTCTTCAGCATGGTAGATATGCCATGTAATGGTTGAGGTAGATGGTAAAATAATAAACTAATTTATGGTGAGGCACTTTCAAAATAGGAATTCGCCAGTGTTTTGAGTGGTGCTGATGGGCTCCTTAGAACACACCCCACAAAGGCCCCTGTGAAGACACAACGGTCTACTTTATAGTTTAAGTTCTCTAATGATTGTTTGAAAAATAATTGGAGTTATTTTATAGTATTGTCTGGTTCACTCATAGCATTATGAAGTTAATTTAGTCAGTAGTTAGAGGATACCATGACTATTCCGAAATTGTGTATTGCTCATTATGCAAGAATTTGCATGATTAATTTGTGTATATACTCTATAGTAAATAATTGTTTGGGGCTTGTGCTTTGTATCCACTACGCCTCATTTGGTTGGAAATGACAGAAATCAAACTGGCTTAAACACTAATGATGTCACTGTCACGGGCTTGTGGACCTGAGGTGAGGCTTGGCCAGCCTGGGCTTCTCCGCAGTTCTTTGTGTGACAGCTTTGTCCTCAGCTGGCGTCTCTAGAGGTGAGGAAGAGGCAGCAGGGCTGAGGAGATTAACTCTTGGTTTAATCAGGAGCTGAGGCGAGTTAGCTTGGATTGCAGCTTTAATTTCTTTCAGCTCACCACTGGTTTCAGTATCTTCAGGCAGGATACGAAGAGCTCAGGTCTCAGCCCCCACATGACAACGGAGATGTCACTCTGCCCTCCATCCCAGTCTCCACTTCCTGCCAGCCACCACACACTTGGTAAAAATCTGGTGGCACAGATTCAGAGCAGCTTTAATCCAGGTCTCATCCATCATTACAGCACACAGGGTGGATGAAACTTTGGCTGGCTCCTTCCAACTTCCACACAATTTTTCATCAGATGCTGATTAGCTCCTTGTCCAACCTGGGCCCCAGAAAGTGGCTGCTGGGTTTTGCTTACTTAGGAAAGGCCCAGTCCCTCTGAAATTTGGTTTCTCTCAACTTCTTTGAGACTTCAGCTTTCCAGTGGATTAAAAAAAAGAAAGAAGAGATTATTTCTCACCGTTCTGGGGGCTAGAAGTCCAAAATCAAGGTGTCGGCAGGGTAGGTTTCTTCTGAGGCCTCTCTCCTTCACTTCTAGATGGCCATCTTCTCTCTGTCCTCACATGGTCTTCCTCCTGTGCATGTCTGTGTCCTAATCCCCTCTTCTTATAAGGACACACAGTCAGATAGGATTATGGTTCACCCTAGTGACTTACCTTAGTTACCTCAATAAATAACCTATCTCCAAGCCATCCCATTTTAGGGGACTGGTGATTATATTACACTGTTCAGCCCTTAACAGCCTGTTTTCCCATCTGAGAAAACACTGACATGATCATTCTGGGCTTGTCCGCTTCTCATGGTTATTGCTGTATATATACACACATAGGAGGGGTGTCCCAGCCACATTGGGTCAGGAGGACATGTTCATGAGAACACTCACAAATGCCTAACAGGTGAAAAACAAACTCAGAGGAAATTAGAAGTGGGCCCACTAAAGGGACTCTTTCTAGAAGAATAGCTATCATAGGTGGATTGCCATTTGTTTTGTTTTTTCTTGATCATATTAAAGGAGCAGTATAACCTCAGACAACTCAGAAAGGACTGAGCCCCTCTGAGCTTCAATTTCATCATCTTCAGCAGAGTACTATCATCTACCTCTTGGGGATTGTGTGAGCTTTAAATGAGATAGTACATACCTGTCCCTTAGCAGCTAACAAATATTAGCTATTGTTGCAGCTTCTGTGATTGTAATTATTATTATTTGTACCCCCATTCTTTATTATCTGGGGAACCCTTCAATGCCCTCATTCTGTAGTAAGCAGGAGAGAAAGAGAAACTGTAATGAGCACTGAGCTGGGAGCTGAAGGCTCTCATTATTTTCTAATCCATCATTCTTGCCTCTTGAGCAAATCCATAATGCAATCAAGGAATCTTAGTGTTTCTAGACCAGAAGTTACACTTAAGGGTCGCATGTTTCCATTTTCCCTCATTTTTGTTTATTTAGTTGTCAAGCGTTCCTTGGCCTTCTAGACTCAGGGCACACTGTGATGAGTGTGACACAGCATGGTCCGTCCCCCAGGAAGCTAGTTTGGTGGGAGAGACAGACAGTGAAGAAGTAAA